TTTATAAATACAAAGCATAAAAATTTGAACCCAAAGAGTGCTTTGATAATTGTTATGTTTCTTCTCTAAAACATTTATTTTTGTTTGAAAGGCAGAGTGACAGAGAAACAGGGAGAAACAGAGTCCATTCATTGGTTCACTCACCCAACGTCAACAACTAATTCTGTGCTAGGCTGAAGCCAGGAGTCTGGAGCCCTTTCAGCATCCTCCATGTGGGTGACGGGGCTGGCCCACTGGTTAATTCATCATTTATTGCCTTCTCGGGTATATTACCAGGAAGCTAGAACTAAGACAGTTCAGTCAGGACTGGAACAAACAATATGATATAAGATATAAGCATTGTAAGTGAAAACTAAGCCCACTACACCATAATGCCTGAGCCATCTGGGTTCTCTTGTATTCAAATGGAATGCTTAGAACACTTTAGCTGATCCTCCTAAGGCTTTATAGAATGAGAGCAGAAACAAGTGAACCCTTATTTCACTTTATTTGAACTTGAACCTTGTCTTTTTCTGTCACCTTTTCTTTTTAAAGATGATTTATTGGGCCTGGTGCGATAGCACAGTGGCTAAAGTCCTCACCTTTAAAGCGCCAGGATCCCATATGGGCGCCGACTCTAATCCCAGCAGCTCCACTTCCCATCCAGCTCCCGGCTTGTGGCCTGGGAAAACAGTTGAGTACGGCCCAAAGCCTTGGGACCCTGCACCTACATGGGAGACCTGGAAGAAGCTCCTGGTTCCTGGCTTTGGATTGGCTCATCTCCAGCCGTTGTGGCCGTTTAGGGAGTGAATCATCGGATGGAAGATCATTCTCTCTGTCTCTCCTCTTCTCTGTACATCTGCCTTTCCAGTAGGAATAAATAAATCTTTAAAAAAAAAAAGATGATTTATTTATTTTAAAGATTTTTATGGCATCAGAGATGGACATCTTCCATGTTTAGTTTTTTCCTCAGATGACCATAATAGCCTGCACTGAGCAAGGCTGAAAGCAGGAGCTTCGTTTGTGTCTTTCGGATGGGTGACAGGAGCCAAAACACTCGAACCATCTTCTGTTGCTTTTCCCAGGCCATTATCAGGGAGCTGGATCAGAAATGGAGCAGCTGGTACATGAACTGCCACCCACATGGGTTGCCAACATTGCAGGCTGCAGCTTTATCAAATATACAAATTGCCAGCCACTCTTGACACCACTTTTTCATGTCAAATGATTTGAGTTTAAGCGAATGTTTAAGATTTTTAATTTCCTCCATTTTAGAGTTTCTTAAGTTTCATCTCTCTTTTTCTTTGGTCAGATTTTTGTCTGAGTGAAAGACGAAGTTTATTAAAACTGCCCTGCCAGTAATGTCTTCTCACTATGTGGTCAATGGGGAGTAAGTAGTGAGTTTACTCGCTCATATTTCTAATACTTGATTGGATTCATAAAAATGAATTTTATATTCATTGTGTGAGCCCTGGGTCACTTTACTGCCAAATCACCTTCTTGGTCTGCTCTGTATTGCGAAAGAACAAACTCCCATGCCAGTTGATTTTCAGCCAATGACAGTTACAAAAGCGGGTGGAAAATGGAAGCCAAGACGTTTCCCTCTCTCTGTGCCAACACTGTTGTAACTGAAAGCAGCTGTGTTTCTTAACGAGGCTCCCACTCCCGCAAGGTGACCACAGCTGCAGTGCTCTGATCCAGCACCTCTTTGTTTTGTCCCTTTGTCCGGTGGTAAGACAGAGTTCCCATGTTTCTGGTTGGCATCACTCTCTTGCTGTGGACTTCAGAGTCTTTCACTTCTTCTGGAGTTGTTCTCTGTAACAGCACCCCTGGGTTAGATACTCAAGTTAGCTTTGTTATGTATTCCTGATTAGGTCTTAATACACACCCATAACACTTTATACTTTAGTACATGTATTCATGATTATCTGCATGGTTAATACATGTTATTTTTCCAAAACTCTTTTTTTAAACAATTTATTTATTTTTGTTGGAAAGTTAAATATACAGAGAGAAGAAGAGGTAGGAAAATCTTCCCTCCGGTGACTGACTCCCCAGTTGGCCACCACAGCTGGAGCTGAGCCAATCTGAAGCCAGGAGCCAGGAGCTTCTTCCCGGTCTCCCATGTGGGTGCAGGGTCCCAAGGCCTTGGGCTGTCCTCAGCTACCTTCCCAGGACAAGCAGGGAGCTGGATGGGAAGCAGGGCCTCTGAGACATGAACCGGTGCCCATTTGGGTTCCTAGCACATCCAAAGCGAGGACTTTAGCCACTAGATTACCACGCCTCTAGGTTGCATAAAGGCCAAGACTACCTATGGTTCGTTCATCTCTAAATGGTGTGGTGGTTGACAGAAAATTGCTTTAATAATCAAAACATTCTCTTGAAAATTATCTGTTGGGTGAATGGGTGGATAAATAAAACTTATAATAAAATTTTTCTCTCATCAGATTGTCTCAGTCATTCCCTCACTTTTACTTGCTGCTAAGGGCAATGAGCTGAAATAGCAGGCAAAGCCAAGCTACACTTCATCCAAGTCATCATCCAAGCACCAGCAAAAGATAACACCTGGTCAAATAGCTAAAGCAAAAATGGTCATCAAGCGTTTAAAAGAAATTAAGAAAAATTATGTAAAATAACTTTGACAAGCCCACCATGAGAAAGCTCTCAAAGATACATGTACAGAATCAGAAGTAAACCAAGTGAACACTCTGACTTTGTTTCTCTCTCCTCTCTCTGCAAAGCTTTCAAATAAATATTTTAAAGATGTGCATGCCCCATATTGGAGTTCCTAGATTCAGTGACCAATTCCTGGCTCCAGGTTCCTGCTAATACAATTCCTGAAAGAGAGCGTTGTTCCTGTCCCCCACCCTTTGGGTGGGACATCTGTATTGTTTCCCTGGCTTTGACCTTTAGCTCAAGTCTAACCAGGGTTGTTGTAGGTGTTCTAGGAAGTAACGTAGCAGATGGCAGATTTCCCTCTGCCTTTCAAATATATGACATTTTAAGAGAGAAAGAGAGATGTCATGTTTTTTGGGGGTATAGGTAGTAGTATAGATAGAATTAAAAAGGGAGAAAAGGAAGATTTTATTTTTTCGATGCCAAGAGATTCTTTCCCTAACCTTACGGGGAATGAATATTTCCTCCTCTGAGGTCACACAGCATTGATCACTCGCTTTTTTTTTTTTCTAAATACATACAGTATCCCAGTGACTATTTCTCCCATAAAATTTGAGCATCTTAGTCAAGGATGTAAGAGAAGCCCACATTACTTTTACAATGTTGTTATGCAATGACTATAATCCGGAAGACAAATTAGTAGTCATTATAACAACCTGAAAATTTAATTTAACATCATCATGTATCTAGGATCTCATTCTCAGGGTAAAATATTTCTTGTGATCTGGAGGAAGTGCATTTTGTCCTATAGTTCATTTTCCAGTATGCACTGGAGCTAGCTAGTTTTTACTTTTCTGTTGCACATACTTGCTTATGGAAGACCTGTAACACCATATAAGCAATAGAAAAGGGAAGGGCAGCCCTGCTCACCCCTCAACAGCAAGAACATTTACTTCTTTTAAGGACCTGTTTCTCTGATGTTCCCATATTTAGTAAAGCCAAGGAATAATAAAGTAAGATGCATTTGTAACTCTGGCAGGTTTATGTAGCCATGACTGAAAGTGAAAAAGGGAGAAAAAATTGGATAAAGTATGCCTTTAAGCCAAGTCAGAGGAAACTTTTCAAACTTTTTATCTGAATCATTTCAATGACCTTTTAAAAAATGTGCTATTGACTACAGCAAATATCAATTTCCTTTTTATAGGACTTGTGACTTGATTTGAACCTGCTTTGTGTGGCAGGCTTTGGTTCCTTCTGGCACCCTTGACTGGCTGTGGAGTCAACATGTCTTGGACCCCACTTTAGCCAAGTGGGTGAGGGAGCTGTGTTCTGCTTTATTTCAATAAGCAGCATGCTTTTAATTTTCTTTTGTCTGTGTGGAAAGTCTTGTAGCTGTCATGCACAGGGTGTCCAGGGAGTTCAGAGGAGCTTACCTCGCAGCTCAGAGACCATTCTCAGCAGTAGCACTGCAGTGCACAGCGCATTTGCTGAGGAGGTGAGGGAGTGGGGGCCTAGGAAGCACAGTTCTGAATCTTAGGCCTTCAGCATGGAATGCTTCTCAAAATACACTTGTAGTCCACTGTGTGTTTGTTTTTTAAATGAAAATAAAAACATATTATGAACTCGTGACTCAGTACCATGAAGTTTCTTTTTTTTTTAATTATGAAATTGTAGGATATAAATCATAATCTCAAGGAAGAGAAATCCAATATTAATGTTTCTCTGCTCAGTAGGAGAGATGATTGTTAGAATGACATTGGTTTTATATTTGATATTGACATATTCTGCAAAGCTGAAGAGAAGAAAATGAAAAGAAAGCTGAAAAATAGTGATATTCTTACATAACTACAGAATTGAAGAGTACATACATATTTATTTCCACAGGATTCAAAATAGTATCATTAAACTTTTAAGGAATATTTATTTAACAGAATAATATATATATGTATGCATGCATCTATGTTTATTTGGGCTAGCACAGATTTTGGGCTGTTTTGCAGTGGATAGTTTTATGGGAGCTCAGATGAACAACAAAAGCATTTTATTTAAAACTTAGTCTGTGCTTTTTCCACTTCCTACCTCTATGCCTTTTCTGTAGCTGCAGGAGGTAAGTATTCTTTTTAAGTCTCAGGCTTGAAGAAGCAAGTGTGCTTTAAAACCCTTAGAGGTACTCTGATCATCTGGGGATGAGAGCTGGTGATTAAATTTTACTTATTTTTATTTACCTCACTTTCCATCTGAAATCAATTTTGTAAGAAATTTAAGAGTTTTCTTTTCATTCTAATAGTATGAATCCTCTTGTGGCATATTCTGTTATATTTTATTTGGATATGTGACTGTTGGAATATTTACTTTTCACTGTTATTTTTCTAGATATGTAATTTAATATTTCATTTTTCTTGTAGAAATTGAAATATGTCATTCCATCATCTGTGACTTTCGTCATTGCTGAAGGTTAGTGTGAGTGAATTATTGGTATTTTGAAGGTAACATTGCTTTTCTGATATTTTTGAAGAATATTACTTTGTATTTTTCTTCAGATATTTTTCTGTCATTTTCTTTATATTTTCCTACTTTTGTCTTAAAGTAATTGATAACCATGAGCTGATGACTTTTTTTTTATAGCTTTGAAGATTCTCAGTCTGCACTGTACAATTTTTTTTCTTTCTCTTAGGACTCAGATTACATTTAAGTCTGATTATATTAATGTTACCTATTTCTCTCTGGTGCTTTTTATCAATTCCTTTGTTCTTTATTCTCTTCATATCCTTAATCTTATCTTCTGTTTTATGAGTTCATTTAAAAGCTACTGTCCAATTTCCCGCGTATTAACTTTATACTTTTAATCATTATATTTCAAGTTGTAGAGACTTATTTTTTAATAGTTTAGTTCTCTGGTGAGATTCTTTGCCGGAACTCAGCCCCAGCTGAGTTCAGAACTCGCAAAGGGTGCGTGGATGAGGTGCAAAGAAAGAAAGAGACAGACCACTAGGAACTCTTGATCATCATAATGGACTACGCACAAAAGCTGTCTGCTTTATTCATACAGAATCAGTCAAACTCTGGCTCAGACTTTTTACATCATGGTCAAGTGGGTGTTTCTAAAGATAACTCTGCCATTTGTTTCACCTAAGGCTAGGATGTTAACCACCTGGTGCCTGGCCCCTGGCACCTGGCTAGGAAAAAGTTCTCAATAGATGGTGCATATCAATCACTTACACATTCCTACCACAATTACTCTACAGCTTGGTCTTGAGACAGTCAAGGAAGGAAGGGACCTAAAAGATCAAAGAAAGAGGGAAAGAATAGATTCCCACTACACCTGAAGACAGAACACCCTTGATTAGCATAGGATCAAAAGGGGAGTTAACACCCTTGAATAGCATATTGCCACAGGATGCAGCCATAACAGCAATAACAGTTTTTTGGCTAAAAACGGCAACAGCAACATCAGCTTCTAAGCTCCCATTGATATTTAACAGTAACTCCACAGAGGCAGACAATGCCTAAATAGATTACAGAATTCTCAGCGGGGTTGTCCGGTGTCCATGCAAAGGGAGGCAGAGCTGCATTCAGGTGTTGTAGAGACATCCACTGGGCCTTGCCACACAGCGGGACATTCCTTGCGGCCTTGCCTGCAAAGGAATGATACTCTTCACACCTTCCTGTCTTCCACATCCACCACGGACCCCAGCAATTCTTGATATATCAATTACAAATATTTTAAAATTTAAACTCAAAAGTTCCAAATTTTAGTATACTTTGTACATGCCAATTTTTTCTCCCTCTGGTTTTGTTCATCTATAATTATTTCCTGACATATTTGATAATTTTGATTAAATACAAAAAAGTGCATAAAATTTTTAAAAGATAGCATGGCTCTTGCTAATCTGGTTTTCCTCCAGGACTTGATAGACAAGAATGGATCACTTTAATCCCATTTGGAATTGAGCTGGATCAAAGCTGATTTTCAGTCATCATGAGGGTTGAGCTATTCCTAGCCAATCTGTATTATTGAAATGGGTGCCTGTGGGAGCCTAAGGGGACTTCACTATGACTGTAACCTTTAGTGGGATTCTGGGTTCCATTTTGCCCCCTGAATCTGCTGAGACCACTATAGGAACATTTTGGAAATGCTTTTCCTTGTCCTCTTGGGCTCTTGGCTTCATGCTGATTGTAAACAAACGAATCTGCTGGGGAGAGTGCGTTTCCTTTCTCCTTGTGATCTAGAACTTCCAAATCTTGGCACTTTCACAGTCCGAAATGCAAATCTGTCTTTAGAGGCTCCTGAGAGTGAAACCTCAGCTTACTTTTTCACACTTTCACCTGCCCCTGCTTGCTGAACCTCACAGTTGTGTCAGTTGTTGAGTTGACAGATCCCTGGGAAGGAAAATGTTGCAGAATGTTGCTCACATTGATATATTTTCCTCATCTCTAATATCCTCATAGTCTTGTAGTTATTTCATGGTTTTTATGCATGATATTTTTCTGGATTTCCTAGTTTTGTATTTGAGAACTTTGAATTTTATCAATTTCCTGATTACCATATCTTCTTTCCTTTGGGGCTATTATTCTGTTACCATTTTCTTTTTTTCTGAAATACTATTTTAGAATTTCTATTGTTGAGAGATTACTGGCAAAGAACTAATATTTTTCATGGTTTTTGCTACAAAATTATTTTATATTGTTCATATTTTTGAATGACTGTGAATATGGCTATAGATTGAATTTAAGGTATATTAATACTTTGAAAATTTTCTGGCTTCTGATGTCAGAATGACACATGTGCAGCAAGTCTACTTATTCTGTATAGGTAATATCTCTTGATTTATGAACTGCTCTTAACATCATGTTTGATCTTTATTTTTTCTATGATATGGAAGAATTTTTTCTGATTATAAGAATTTACCTTTCATTATTTATAAAACATATCTCCCATTGTCTCTCTAAATACTGCTTCTTTCTCTTCTGGAAACTTCTTCTAGGACTAAATACACATATTAAATATATGTAAACATATAAATATTTTTCTAATTCAATTCTTCATAGTTCTTTTTATTTTATTTTTTAAAGATTTATTTATTATTTTTGTTGAGAAGGCAGATTTAGAGAGAGAAAGAGAAACAGATTGCCCTTCTCTCAGCTGATTCACTCCCCTGTGACCACAATGGCCGGAGCTGCGACGATCAGGAGCCAGGAGCTTCTTCCACGTGGGTGCAGGGTCCCAAACCTTTGGGTCATCCTTGACTGCTTTTCCAGGCCACAAGCAGGGAGCTGGATGGGATCGACCATTATGAACTGGCACCCAAATGGGATCCCAGAGCATGCAAGGTCAGAATTTAGTGACCGAACCATTGCACCAAGCCCTCTTCATAGACCTCTCTCATTTTTGAACTTATTTTCATTATTATTATTATTATTACTACTACTGTCATTTTATGATATAGTTTCATAGGCCCTGGGATTTCCTTTATCCTCTCCCCAAATCCCTCCCTGCTCACTGGGTTCCCCTATTTTGTTACTATAATACATTTCTTTGTAAGCACTCATATGTCCATCATTGCAGGCATGGACAATGGCAGAGTCCAGCATCCTATTGTTAAGATATAGTAAACAGTTTCATTGGGAGTCCATCTTTGTCTGGAAGTAGAGATGCATACTGCATTGTATCCTCACATCTGGATATGATAGTCTCCATTACACAGTTACTATATATCCCTTTAAATGAAAAGACAACATACAAAGTCAACAACAGGAAGAAAAATAGAAATTTACAGTGCCATGAAGTTAAATAGCATGCTACTAGATATGATAGCCTCCATTACACATTTACTATATATCCCCTTAAATGAAAAGCCACAAAATTTGTTCTTTATTTCTGAAAACGAGTTCAGGTTGATTTTTCCAGCTCAAAACTATTCTTATAAATACTTAATGCTTAAAATTTTTAAATTAGTTTTTGTTATCTATGTGAAAAGTAGGATGATGGAGATACATGTCCCCTTGCCTCCAAACACACACACACACACACACACACACACACACACACACGTCTTTGTTTTTTCTGGTTCATATCGCAAATGCTTGGAATAGGCTGTGCTGGCCTGGCCTAGCTAGAGTCAGGAGACTGGAATTCCATCCTGTCTCACAGTCAGTGGCAGAGGTGTAAACAAATATTTGGGCCATTAATGCTGCCTCTCAGAGTGCAAGTGTAGAAATTGGGATCAAGGACCCAGCGCGTGGTGGCGCAAGTGGTTAAGGTCCTCGCCTTGCACGCCCGGGATCCCATATGGGCGCCAGTTCTATCCCAGCAGCCCCACTTCCCTTCCCATCCAGCTCCCTGCCTGTGGCCCGGGAAAAAAGTCGAGGACGGCCCAAGGCTTTGGGACCCTGCATGGGAGACCTGGAAGAGTCTCCTGGCTTCGGATTGGCATAGCATTGGCCGTTGCGCTCACTTGGGGAGTGAATCATTGGACGGAAGATCTTCCTCCCTGTCTCTCCTCCCTATATATCCGCCTTTCCAATAAAAAAAAAAAAACAATAAAAATAAATCTTTAAAAAAAAAAAGAAATTGGGATCAAAATTAAAGTCACTGGGAGTAGGTTCCACACTCCAATAATGGGATTCGGGCATCACAAATGGCCACTGAACCCACTGCACCATAATGCCTTCCCAAAATTGAGTTCTTTTAAATTCAGTCATTTCATTTTTAATTTTTACAACTTGTTTTGAAAAATCTCCATATCATCCTGTATTTGGAAGCATAATTAGCTGCTTGGTACCTTTGTGTTTATTTCTGCTTGTTCAGTTACTCAAACAACAACTACAACAAAAACTGAGTTTTGTAATTCTGTGGCATAAGGTCACGTTTGGCCTGACTTTGTCACTTGATTAGTGATGTCTTGTGAGCTGGATTAAAGTGATTTCCTTTAGGTGGAATGTTTTACAAGACACCCAGGATCCTCCAAAGGAAGAAAAATGCTATTTCAAGGCTTGACATTCCTTTATGGTTTAAATTAAGTTTCTAAAACTGCTTGAATCATGCTTGTGTTTATAGATTCTCAAGGGACATTGTTTTCTTCACTAGTTAAGTTAGACATGTTTATTTTGAGGATATAACTTTGCCTGACTTATACTGAAAGCAAACTCTTTCAGGGGTCCTACTTTGTGCAAGATGGAAGAATAGGACTCAGTATTAATTCTTCACTTGGAGTTGCCACAAAGCCTGTCCCTTTTTCTCTCCATCCATTTTCTCGTTCTTTGCTCCCTCCTTCCTGTCTTCCTTCCTTCCTTTCATCTTTACTTTCTTTTTTCCTCCCATCTTTCTTCCTACCTGCCATCCATCTTCTTTCATTTTCTCTTCTCTTTTCTTCTTTCCTTCCTCCCTTCCCTACCTCAGCCCTTCCTCTTTCAGTCTTTCCTTCATATATCCCCCATATATAAGTTATTTTTTC